ACAAAACTGTTTTTCTCTGCAAGTTTCTGCTCCTCTCTGTTTATAGTTTGGCAAGAAACTGCAGCACACCATTAACAAGGTATTGGTATGGTTTATTTACACTATTCTGCACTAGTGAAAAAGCCAATACATAAAACCAGATGTATTAACATCCTGGATATGTAAAAGTAAGAACAGTCAATTCTCACAGAATTACTTATCCCTCATCAAAACTTCCTTCCGTTTTTTAATATAACAGCATAAATTTCTCACGTTAAGAGCTATTTCTTGATTAAAGCAAGAGCATCTTATTGTTACTTTGTCATGATGTGGTAAACTAAGAAACATCTATTTCTACCTTCTCCCCTCTCCCCACACCAAGTAAGCTTTCAGTGACATCGTACTGAAGGAGGGGAAAAATGTTTAAAGAAAAATTAAAATGAATTATACTTGTCAGAGAGCCCACAGGCACACACAAGCGTATCAAAGAAAAGAATGTTATTTTAGTTGACTCAGGATGATTTTCTGAAAAATTTTTATAGCTTGTTCTTCATCTCAGATTGCAGCAAACTACTAAATTTATTTTTAAGCCATATTTTTGATTTACTGAAAAAAATCAAATTATTAGTAAGCCACATACTATGTTTATAGTGCCTGTGAGAATACTGATTAGGCAACTAAAAAGACTGAGCAGTAACTTAGCGAGCAGCTCTGAAAAATGACAAAAACTTTAAAAGCGAGTAGTCTGATACTTTTAAGTAAAAATCATTATGTTATATGACAAGCTTATGGGAATGAAACTGAACATTTATGTTGTTAGACCCCATTTTTTTAAGGATAAAGAGAATTAAGACAGGTTTGAATTGTGACAGAAACTCCAAACATACATATAAAAAGGTATATATGCATATATTTGTATACCATATATAAATGTCTATATACTAAAGACAGAGGTTGCCTTACTTAAGAGCATTCTGATAGAAGACAAAGCTGAAGTTTTCACTATTGCTACTGTTCATTTGATGGACACTAGGAATTTTGCATGGACATGGGTATTTTAAAATAAATACTAGGAAAAATACCACTTGGAAGGAAAAGCTATGGACCTCTGTAAATCTCAAGTTTCTGACTTCCATACCATTTCACATGAAGGTGAAACAAGGTCAAAGAGCACTTCTGTGAAGTCAAAGGAGTCTTGCACCACAATGCATTTACATGCCACTGATCTGGATCCCTCAGGCCTAGAACAGATCACAGGTCACTAAATTCCCATCCTGATCCACAACAACCCTTCCCATTACAAGCTCCACTATTATTTTGCTTGTAAATGAGGACAGAGAAAGCTTTAGTGTTTACTACACGTGATACTTTGGTTTCCTATGAACAGCTGCTAAAACAGCCAGCAATGCACAAGACACATAAACTGCACTGGCATTATCAAGGGCAAGGCCTCTTTCCTGGGATGATTTTAGACCTGGTGGAAAAAAGCTGAAAGGTAAGACAGGGTCTCAAGAGACTTCACATACTGAGCCAGCACGTAAAATAAAAGCTGAGGAGCCCAACTTGATTTGAAGGACCAGGACAATCAGCATCCTAAGAGGAGAGTCAATGCAGGGCCTCACCTTTGGGAGAGCAGGAACCTCAGGTTCAGAGATAAAAGTCAGAGAGAAGAGTAATGTCTGCAGAAAAATTAGATTGACAGGAAATACTGCTAAGTACAGGATTTCTGTAGATCTGTCATGGAAGAAAAACAGCAGGGAGACTGGGAATGAACTAAGAATTGGTGGATTAGGTAGGACATACAACCATGAGATGAGCAGTAGCTGGACAGATGCTGGGAAGAGAACAGAGGCCATTGAATATTTAATAAAGGGACTCTGATGAAAAAGAGTCCCTTTAAAAATATATATATAAATATATAAATTTAACATCATGGCTATGGAGATCTGAATATGAATGTATTTCTTTTAGGATAAGAGCTAGTTGAGGCGGGATAACGAGGTGGAAGAAGCAGAGGCAAACACTGTCTTCTTACAGATGTGGCAGTGAGTATTTATCCACTACCCTTGGAAAGATCATTCTTCTTCACACCGTATTTGGTGCACATTTTTTAAAATTGTCAATTCTGGAAAACCTTCAAGTGGTAGCTTTGGATTCTGCTCCTGTGTGAATAATGCAGGCAACAAATAATAAATGAAGATCAAATTTTACTTTAAAAGAAAAAGTATAGATTTGTGTTTGTTAATAAAGCTAATATGATCCCAATATTACCCCTGAACAAGTTAATATCCCATTATAGAAAGACAGGGGATTTGATACTGGCATGGAAGGAGTAATTTTACCTTCTTCAAAAATCAGTAAATATTTGAGCATATTGGGTATTCTCAGTGCTATGTAAATAGCAGATTTAAGGAGACACAAAATTCCATGTAACTAATATAATGCCCAAAATAAATACATCAAAAGAATTTTAGATCAACAGCACATTGTGTGCTGTTATGAATAATAATCTGCCAAGCTATTTTTGAACACTTTCAAAGAAGTTCCATATCTGAGCTGAGACCGAAGACATGTTGATGTGTTTTCATTACAAATTTTTCTTTACCAATCTGGCAATGTAGTCTTCTTAAATTAGCATTTAAATACTGTATCTTACTTAACTGAATCCACATCTTCCCTTTCCTGCAGAAATGCTCCACTTTTCTATAACATGGCACTATTATCAGCACTTAGGGGCAGAAGACAGAAAAGGTCTTTGGACATGTTCAATTCTGCCACTGTCAGAGGAAGTCCTCTGAGTAGCCTCTGCTTTCATTCAAAAGCTGAAGGTGCTAAATGTTGTTCTTTTTGTCCTATACATCCACAGGTTTTAGTATAAAAGCATGAAAGTAAGACTGAGACCAATAATACCAAGATGAGAGAGTAAATATGTATTCTAGCATTCCATTTTAAATACAGCTTTGCTAATACAACATACATACAACAAAATGCAGTTTTTTGATTGGTTACACGGCCCTTTCAAATTGAATCTCAAGGTATCTTCAGTTCATGTAACTGGATCAGTAACAGCATTTTCACTGATGTCTCAAAACACATTCGGCACTTGAAAATTCTTGACTAAGGAAAAGCTTTATGACTTCAACTGTGTATTAGAGGCTGAACTCAGGTTGTTTTGGAGTTATTTTCAATCTATATGAAATGTGAATAACAGAGGTTACTTTTTCTTCATAGTGAAAAAAAATCAGAGTACATACTGACTGTGAAAAGCTCCTTCATTTAGCAGTCAAAAGATCTGGGGGAATTTCAACAGCTCTCAAGTTTAGTCTGAGGACCTTGAAAAAATGCCATTACTATCAAGTCCTTCTACATCTATTTTGGCATAAGTTGATTTCTCTATGCTGCTTTATGTTGGCACGTTTTGTATAACAAACATTACGTAACCTTCTGTCTAGCAGCATATCACTACTTATTTCCTGTTTCTTCCCTAAAATAAGGAAGCTTCTCTGCTTAAATCATTGTCTCAGTTATTTAGGAAACCAGTTTTGTTGAAAAGACACCATCCTGGAAGTCTGGACTGGGGTCTAGACTACCTCCCCTCACTTCCCAAGATTCACAGCAGGAAACTAACTCCAGTTACAGAGAGCAGCCCGGACTTGACTGAACCCATAATGTGGGTCAACCTAAACAAGATGCAGGAGAGTTAACATCAATGTCTAGACCTGGCAAATTTATAAATAATACATTCCTCTATTAATTGTATTTTAGTTGTACTATAAATTCAATTAATCTGTTAACCTGGACAAGCCATCGACATTTCTTCATTACAACACATCCCTTGAGTAGTAATGCCTCTAAAATTGTCCTTCTAACTTCTACAAGGTTAAGTTGCCAACTTCAAACTAAAAAACTTATCAACATAACAGTGCTAATCTGCACTGCCAGATCTGGATTCTTAGCCTAGGAAAGAATTAAATAAGTGGTAGAACACACATTAAAACAAAAGTATGAGTTACTGTGCATCATTTTGTTTACAGGAAGATAATTTTGGATGGTAATAACTCAGCTTTTAAAAGGCAATACAATCACTTTTCATCAGATGCTTAAATTCCTTCTACATTCCAAGCTACAATTAAGCTAAGCATACATATTTTCCAGTGACACAGACTTTAACAACCACCTTGCTGTAATACTCAAGAGTTCAACTCCAAGGATAGGACTCTATTAACAACGCAGAATAACTAGCTTGTTTTCCTCCCTTTACACACTTGTGTATTAAAAGACAGCAAGCATTAAATTACCTCAGAGACTCGCACAGATGACTAAATCATGAATAAGACAGTACACCACAGAACTAGGAGCTTGCTCTCTAGTTAGCTGCTTTAAGAGCCAAACATGCAGTGTTATCAAGAAACAAAACATTAATCTCGGATCTAACATCACAGGCGGGTTCTCCACGAAGCCATAGCAGCCATCTGGAGTTAATCTGACTGCGGTCTGGAAGAGTAGCTGAATAACACTTTGGAAGAGTACACAGAATACACACCGCAACTTTTCAACTCCTGAAATATTTCTGTCCCTTTTCATGCAACATTTAAAACTTTAGCACAAAAACCTGCTTTACCAACCCTGCCTAATTTTTTTCTTTAAACTGTTTGCCGTTAGCAAGGCTGAAACAGGACAGCCAGCAGCTTCTCAGAACTCGCAAAGGTAACTAGGACATCCACGATCTTTCCAAGAAGAGCTCTTGACGTCTGGCACCAGCCAAGCCCCTGAGCTTACCACGGCCCAGAAACCCACCCGGGGACATCCAACCCCGCCGTCCCGGGCAGGAAGGGGACGGGGACACGGCAAGGTCTGGGAGGGAATGCCAGGCCGGCGGGGAGCGGGCCCAGGCTCGGGGAAAGGCGGGACAGGGACCGGGGAAGGGCGGCCGCCGCACCGAGACCCGCGTTCCCATGGCCGGGCCCGGGAACGCCCCTCCCCCGGGACGGGACGGGAGGGGACGGGACGCGCTCCCTTACCCACGGTGGACTTGCAGGCCTCGCAGAAGGTGTCGTCGGTGAACCGCTCCATAAGGCTGGTCTTGCCCACCCCCCGCGACCCGATGATGATCACCTGCAGCTTGAAGTCGGCCGGGCGCGGCGGCTGCTTCCTGCGGCGGGACTGCCCCCCCGAGAGCGCCGGCGACCCCGCCGCCGAGCCCGCCCCGAGGTCCAGCCCGCCGCCCCCCGCCCTGCGCTGCGGCAGCCCCGAGCCCGGCTCCATCAGCGATGCATGCGGCGGCGCCGCGCTCCCTCCCCGCCCTCCCCGCCACCGGCGCCGACCACTGCGAGGCACGGGGAGGAGGGGGCAGCGAGGACGAGACGCGGCCGCCGCCCGGCCCTGCCCGAGGGGAACGGGAACAGCCACAGGAACGGGAACTGCGCTGCCGCCGAGAGCGGCGCGCCCAGGCCCGCGCCCGCCGGCGCAGCGCCCTCTGCCGCTCCGGAGCCGCGGCCGGGCCGAGCCGCAGGGCCGGGGCCGGAGCGCCCGCCCGTCCTGCCCCGGCAGCGGCTCGGGGAGTGTGGCTTCGGGGTCAGCCTTGCCCCGGCCCCCTCTTGGCGTGACCCGCAGCCAGATCTTACTGCGAGCTCCCAGTGGGAGCTGCCTCTGCCGGGACGGAGAGGTCTCCATGCTCCTTTAGGGATTGGAGTATTGCTCTTACGAGTAAAGGCTGAGGGAGTTGGGCTTGTTTCGCCTCAAGAAGAGAAGACGGAGAAGGTGTGTAAGGAGGGGTCCCAAGAAGATCAGGCTGTTCTCCTTGGTGCTGAGAAATAGGACAAGAGGCAACGAGGGAAGCGGATGCGCAGAAAGTTCCACCTGAACGTGAGGAAGAATTTTTCAATCTGCAGTGGCCGTGCACTGGAACGGGTTGCCCAGAGGGATGTGGAGTCTCCCTCAGTGGAGATAATAATCAAGACCGCTCCAGACACGATTCTGTGCACTGTGCTGTAGCACGACCCTGCTTGAGCAGGGAGGTTGGACCAGATGACCCCCTGTGGACCTTCCCTACATGACCTGCTCTATAGTTCTTGATTTTGTGATTGTCTAGTTTTGTCTCACCTAAATTTACCTTCAGGTGGTCAAGCAGATCTCAGCCCTGGGTGGACTCCCTCTGTGTGGTAGCACACACGGCTCTGGGGTCATCCAGGGATGGATTTCACTGTCAGACTTCTGAACCTGGTACCCACTTACTCCTGGGCACCGACCTTTTCATAACAACCACCTGTGCCAGCTCAGTTATTCAAATTCCAAGCAAAGGAAAATAAAGCTGTAGAAGTAGTGTAATAAATCATAGGAGGGAAAAATCATCGGGATCAGTGTTGCTCATTGTTTTTTTGAGGAAATTTCTTATCTCTCCAAGCTCTGAGGACCTAGAGTTCAGAGAATACAGATTTTTCAGATGCAGCAGAATCATAAAATGACCTGGGTTCAAAGGGACCTTCAAGATCATCTAATTCCCATCACACTGCTGTGGGCAGGGACAACTTTCACTAGACCAGGTTGCTCAGAACTCCATTTAACTTGGCCTCGAGCACTTGCAGGGCTGAAGCATCCACAGCTTCTCTTCCAGACATAGGAAGGATTAATGGTTTTAAGAGAATCTGAAATCTACATGTAGGATAAAGTATTATGAATGTGAGAAGCATGAACAGTCAAAGCTGGTGGAGATGTGAGAACATTCGGTCCTATTTCCTAGATTCTCACTACCATTTTTAAGCTAATAAAAATTTTCAAGGTAATGTGAAACTACAGGCATGTTTAGGAAACCACTGCCATACAGGAATGATTTTCTCAATAGCTAATTTTCTTGCCCAAGTGAGGCTATTTGAGAGTGAGGGTAAGTTTCCTAGAACAACAAACAAACAAAGATAGAAAAAAACCCAAACACAAACCCACAAATAAGCAAATTAAAAGAAAAAAAAAAAACACAAACAAAATGAGAACTAGAACTAGGTGGTTCTAGTTAGTGGCATTTTTCTTAATTGCAACTAATTTTCATTACAAGAAAAACTGTCAGTTCTTCAAACAAGCAGAATGGTCTAAACCTTAAAGCAAACAAACAAGACCATAAAAATCCCAACACTTCTTGTGCGTTACACTCACCCCACCCTCTCCATACTGTTACATGTAATGCTATAATTAGGTATTTGAAGGGGCAGCTCATCACTGAGGGTGAATTAATCTACCAAATACAGCATCATAACAAGATAACCCTTTTGGTTTTAGTTGGGTTTTTTAACCCTTAGGTCCATACTATAGAATTATAATGTTCTTCCAAATCTCTAACTCTGATATATCCTCAAGACTCCTGTTTCTCCTGAAGGGTGCAGGCCACTAGGTATGTTGTAGGCTGGTCCTGCACATTCATTATTGGTCATTAGAGTAGCCTCAGTTCCACATGTTATTTTGTGTGCTACCAATTCACTTTCAAACAAGGTAGGTCAAGCAAATCTCTGCTGAACACCCTATTCCTGTACCTGCACACAGATATTCAGCAACATTAATATTTTCAGTCCTTCAGTAAATGAACTGAACTGTGAATACCAGGCTTTAATTGCATAGTCTTGAGTGGTTTGCATCATTTGTTCAGCATAAGAGCATTTTCCTGATTAGTCCACAGCTGCAGAGAACCTGCAAATGTGAAATGTATTCCTCTGTGCCCCCAGTCTGTTGCCAACCATTGCCACTCTTCCTTTTTACCTTTTTGACTATTTGGTGGGGTCATCTCGGTAAGCATGCATATATTTTTCATGTTAGCTAGTTCCTGGAATCCAGACCTTTCCTTCAGTATCTGTCACCATTCACTATGTAACTGCTCTTAGTTTTATAAAGAGATTTATATTGGTGTGGTTCATACACTTTCCCTAAATGGGAGCCTGTACATATGAGGTACTAAGTGTAGAATCTTACCAACATATATACATAAGAATATACCGATATTACTATATAAAAAGCTTTGGTGAAGCTGTACAACTTTTATGGATATCCTGATGTGCACTTCAACTCATTTATAAACACAAATAAAAGATGAACATGGGGAAAAAAAACCCCAATCAAAAAATAGCTCAAAAACAGAGAAAGAGATGGGATTTTGATTTCCTTGTAATTGTTTGTTGAAAAATAATCGATGTGCTAGTAGGTAGTGTAGTCTGAGTTGCTATGTTTTCATTACAAATTAAATTGGTATTGGCCAGCAGGAAAAAGGTTGGAGTAGAACACACAGGGTTACTACAGCAGCAGGGATGAATAGAAAAACAGCTTCTATCCTCTTGAAAAGCAAAGAAACAGAAGGGGAAAATAGTCCCCAAACCACTAAGCCTCTCATTTGATTAATAAGCATATGTATGGAAAAAAGGGCTATTTTAATACATGATTCAGCTGTGCTCTTAGGGCAAACTGTAGCTAAAATTTCCATCCCTCCTCTGCATCCTAGACACTCTTAGGACAACCAGCACATGTGTTTAGAAATGTGAAGGGAGGCTTGGTTCAATGTGGGGAGCTGCTTGGAGATGTCACTTTGTGTCTGTACATTGAATTTTCACTGTACAGCCTTTAGTATATGTCCCCTATATGTCATCTGTCATGCCTCAGGCCTAAACTCTTCCTTTTCATGCAGGTTGTTTTTGCCTTCTGCTACATCTTGTGCTCTTCTAGATTTGATACATGTGGAATTTATTTCAAGAGAATTATTTAAAAGAAAATACATGAAATATTCCTTTGGAGAGAGTGGGGGCAGAGCAGGGCTGGTGGGATAGATCAGCTTCTCTGGCTGTCAAACCCAGTCTCTCTAAGCTTAAAGGATATTGATGGAATATTGACTGGCTGGTCACTGTTCCGGTGGAAGGAATCTTGCTACTCAGTTGACTACAACAGTATAGTTAATTTGAATGTCTCTTTAATCAATCTTTCTCACAGGCTGTTCTGCAATACTTATGCCATCACATCTGAGCTATGTTACTGTTATAATTTATTTGTCTTTTCAGTGCACATCTAAAGGGATACTGTTATGTCCACGGGTCGGAAAGTGAGGCCTTGGTATTTTTGGCTGTGTGCTCTTTGAGACTGATTGCAAAAATTTTAGATGGTTATCTCATGTGTTAAGTCTTAAGGATTTCCTTCATAAACTGCTTGGAATATACTTTTTTGGCAAGGGTGGCAAGAAGATTTTTAAGATAATGTCAGTCAAAATGAACACAAGATGGGGATTAGAAGCTTATGATGCCAGACTTGTCTACAAGTGGGATTCCAAAGGCTTCTGCTACATTGGAAAATTTATAGCACTTCAGAAGAGTGATCCAAGAAATAGTAGTCTTGACCTACGTTGGAAGAAATGCTAAGCACGGGGGGACAGCTAACATCTTATCCAGAGAGCTCAAAGTTTTATAGAGCTTCTTCAAGGTGCATAGCAGAATGCAGATTGTCCCTCCCAGAATAATATCCTAAGACAATCTCTTTTCAAATATAAATTAAGTCAGTGGCTTTTGTTAGCTTCATTGATCCTCTTTTTACCACATGAGCTTGTGAAAAGATATCTATCTGCAACTTCTTTTTTTCCACTTCTATATTTTTTTCCAAAAGAAGCAATTACCTTTTCTCTCCTGTTTTCAGAAACTTCATCAACTCTGAATATTTTTCCCTTGTAGTTCAGTGGTCCACTATGATTCCCATGTGAGTATTATATGCTAGTTCCCATGTGAGTTTTATATGTACTCTTTGAACAGCTTTTATTCTGAGCAAGAAACCTCCTTTTAAATGTTTGTTCCTTTCTAGGCTTGAATATTTTATTTACTGTGTGAGTGAACAGAAAGAGACTTCTACCTAGGCCAAGAACCCATTTTGAGATTTCAAAATTAGCAATTTTGAGTGATGTCACACCCTGCTTTATTTCCTTAGTATTTTTTCTCCTTTTATAATTCAATATTAGCATTATTTCCTCATATTTAATTTTATTAGCCTAATTTTTGAGAAATTCCTTACATATGTGGAATATTTATCATCCAGTGTCACCATGTCAAATTGAGTATGATTAAATCCAACAAGAAAGAAAATAAAAATTAGGAAAAGTCCTGCTGTAAACAACTTTGAACATTCTTTATTGTACTATCAGTTTTAATCAGGTCTTCTCATTTATTTCAGTTAGGCCAGGAGTTTGGCCTCCTGGTTGTACATTTGAATTTGAACAATAACAATAAAAGGATTTTATGTGAGGGAGGGACTTTCTTACTAGCACCATTAGTGTGAGGGTTAATAGGCTGCATTCTGATCACTGTCACTTCTGAGTAGATTTTCGTTTAACACGACTTGCACATAGGGAACAGCTTCACACATGTAATCCATGCCTGTCTTCAGGCAGAAGTGAACAGCTTTCCACATCTTCTTGGAAACCAAATTAACTTCTACATATGC